TCTCTCTCTCTCTGGTAGGCCCCCCCCTCCCTCTCTCTATTTCTTTCTCTCTCTCACACTCGTAACAATAAATGGAACAAAACTCTCTCTCTCTCTCTCTCTCTCTCTCTCTCGTGTTAGCTCTTAGTCTCATTGATTTGGATACCTTAGGGCTGCGTTCCCTGCGCCCACGCGGTAGACAATAGGGAGGTGACACTAGTTATATAGAGTTCACGATTTGTGGCAAGGTGTTTTGTTTTGGGCCCTTGTGGGAAGTTAGTACTATAGGGAAATAGTTTTTGTTAGGTTGTCTGTTGCTTTTCGTTATTTTTTTTTTTTTTTTTTTTTTTCGCTTGTGCGGTAGTGATTCCTTTCCTCTTTTATTTGAATTGTTCGGATTTGTTGGCCTTGTAGGCAGTGTTTTTTCTCATAGGGGTGTGGATTTTCCTTTTGAATTGTTCGGATTTGCTGGCCTTATAGGCAGTTTCTTTTTTAGGGTCGTGGATATTTCAGAGCAGCGGTCCAGATTTGACCATCTCTGCTTTTGGATATATGAATCCCGACACCAATTCTGAGCTGGGCTGTGCCCCCATTAATTCCTTTTTTTTTCTGGGTTGAGTTGTTTGAGGAATCCCCGGCCTCAATTGTGTTAAACCACCAGTACTTGGGCACTGCGCGCCGGAGGTCGAAGCGACACGGGCTGTGGATTCGATTTATCCACGGCCCCCCGGCCGCAAAATTTTCGTAGCGTTAACGCTAAGGCCGGCCCCAAGTACTGGTGGTTTAACTTTGATATAATGAATGAAGCCATCAGGGCCCCTTCTTTTGTAAAAAAAAAAAAAAAAAAGATCTGTTTTTTCTCAAAAGCTCGAATACACCTGATACGCGTTATGTTTGGGGTAAGAGGGTGGCACCCTTCTTTCCCCCTCACTTCCTCAAACAGGAAAGACTGGACCACACCAACTCCTCTTCCAAAATGACCGTCACAGGCAACCCCCGGGGCTAGGTCCCACTTGCGCGAAATAAAAGATAGTGACCGTAGATAGCAAAGATCGACGGCCGAAATCTCCCTATTTGCGCGAGTGGGACCTTGGCCCCGATCACCGAGCAAGCATCATTACCCTCCCCGACCTCTTCCTCTGTCGGTCGGTGGTGCTGACCTGACGCTTCCCATCGCCTCTTCACAGACTCCTCAAAAGCCCTCAAAATGGCCCTCCGCACATCCAAGCTAGTGGATGGAGTTTTTGCAGGAAATCCGTTCGTCGTGAACCCTGCGGATGCCGGGTTGTATTCTGTGCCAAGGGCACACTCACGTAGGACTTTCCTAATGTCTGGTCGCAATCTCTATCAGACAGATTCAGTCCGGAAAACCCTCGTGCCCGGCCTGGGGCGAGGTCCCACTAGTAGCAATAGCAAAGAAAGCGTAGATCAAGCTCCTGAATCTGGACGTGGTTTAAGCAGTGATGCAGAAAAGCAGTTCAACCTCCATTTTCTGCATATTTTCACAAACATGTCCAGATTCAGGCGTTCAATCCAATCCGCTTTGCTAGTGGGACCTCACCCCTGGGCAGGTCTTTCAATCCGGTAGTCAGCTACGGATACAAGGGATGGACGGACAAGGGGGGTCCTGCATGCAGACTGGTGAGCGGACGTGTTTACCACTCTCACCTGTGCGCTCTGTTCGCGGGAGTTAACCAGATTTACCGGCAGAGGCTGTTGCTTTCGCAGGAACTCGTTTCGTTCATCGACGGTGGGTTAAGGTGGATGGGCTTGAAATCGGTTGGGAGGCACTTTCCCGCGCACGTTTCCACTTATTTCTTGATTCGTCATTCTCCCCGAGCGCGAGCGCGCAAGCGCACTCACTCTTATGCTTGACACGTGCCTTTTTTGAAGGCGAGAAGGCTATGAGCTGACTGGAGCTCCTCGTTCTCCCCGAGCGCTCGCGCGCAAGCGAACTCACTCTTATGCTTGACACGTGCCTTTTTTGAAGGCGAGAAGGCTATGAGCGGACTGGAGCTTGGCAGAATTTCATGGGGCACGACTCGTGTGACGGTGGCCTAGAGGAGGACGGGGAGATCGTCGGGGGGAGAGGGAGAGGGGGAGGGGGAGAGAGAGCGCTGAATGCTGCTGCAGGTGGTTGTATTCAAGGAGGACAACTGGCTCTTTTTAGACCTTGCAGGTGGGTAGTCGACGATAGGATAGACTGAGCGAATTGAGGGGGAAAGGGAGGGAGGGAGGGAGGGGGGGACGGAGGGAGTGGACAATGACGAGTGGGATGGGCAGAGGGAGGGGGAGGGAGATGGGGCCTGGGAGTGATGCAAAACTTCTGGTCGATCTCCGTGACGACTCGCCATCTTCTTCTTCTTCTTCTTCTTCTTCTTCTTCTTCTTCTTCTTCTTCTTCTTCTTCATCGTCATTGTCGGTTTCGCCCACCCCTCCACCCCACCCGTCTGCGCTTCCTCGTGGTACCATTCGTCCTCCTCCTAGACGATCAGAACGAGCACCTGCGAGCTCTTGGTCCACGGGTGGGTTTCCCGCGGCGGGATCTCTTCCGTCTCAAAAAACTAAGATGACGGGCAATCACCCACCCCCCAATTTCCTTGGCGATGATAGATCCACTGCAGTGGCGGGACGGAGTGGGAACAGTGCTGGCAGTTCTGCGCCCTTTTCTACTTTGCTCCCGCCTCCCCCCGCGGCCGGCGGCATCATCGGTCAAGTAGCTTCTCAGGGCGGGAATCGTGGCGCCGTGTCATGGCAGCCCTCCCCCGGTCGGGGGGGAGGTAGCGCGGGCTTTTCAGCGAATCGCGCCACGATTGCCCCCCCATCCCGACCTTCTCCTCCCACGGGGATGAGTGGTCACGCGGGAATTCATCGGACCATCTCTCCCATTGGCGCTTCGTCGTCTTCTCCGTCGGGCTGCTCGTCCTCGTCCGCTTCGAGAGGAAGTGCGATGGGCTTAGCCGCGAACGCCTTCGCCTTCCCGGCGCCTGCAGCTTCGGTTCAAGCAGGGTACCTAGCATCATCTGCAGCTTTTTCCGTTCATCAGACGTCGCAATCAATGTCCTATGCGATGTCTTCTGCACCACGGCGAGCTCTTTCCTCGACAACACCGAGTTATCAGCTGTCATCCCCCAACGACTCGGGGCTGTTTAGCAATCTACTTACCGCCTCGTGGGCGCTATCCTCGTCTGCTTCTTCCTCGTCTTCTGCCTCGTCTTCTTCCTCGTCTTCGTCGTCGTCTTCTTCCTCCTCCTCGTCGTCAGGTGCGTTATCGTCATCGTTATTATTGTCATCCTCCTCATCTTCGTCATTGTCAACAGGAGCGTCGTCGTCATCGGCGTGTTCGAGCGCGATGCTTGGGAAGGGGGCAGCAGCAGCAGCAGCAGCAGCAGCAGGAGGAGGAGGAGGAGGAGGAGGAGGAGGCATGGTAACTGGGGGACCAGCGTTGGGCGAGAAATGCTCGAGTGAATGGGGGATGAATGTGCAAACCCAATCAAGCGTCGCGGGAGGGGGGGCGCGCACCTTGTCGCCGCCAATTCCGCTGCCAACTCCGCCGCCGCCATCACAGCTCTTCCTCTCTGTGGCAGGGGAGGGAGGCGAGCTGTCGCCCGTCGCGGGGTTGGCGGCATCACTTGGCAGAGCTGCTTCGCCGTTTTCCGTGGCTGAGTCGTGTTCTACTGGATCTCTCTCGTCTGGCGTTGCAGTGGATCTCGATCCGTCTGGGTCCAGCGGCCATCACTCGGGAGCGGATGGCGACGTGTTCTCGATGCTTATGCAGCCCACGGGAAGCGGAAGGGCGCGTTCTCCTCCTCCTCCTTCTCCTCCCCCTGCTACTCTCTCCTCCTCTCCTCCCGTTTTTCATTCTTCGCCTCCTCTTTTCCCGCCTACGACTTCGCTTCTGAATACCTCCTCCTCTTCTCCGGCTCCCCTTCCGCCCATCGCTTCTCCTCCTCCTCCTCCTTATCCGACTCGTCCTGCCGTCGCAGCGAGACACCAGGGCGAGGTACCTGCCGGCGGCGGCCATAGCTCATCACTGTATGTTCCCAGCCAACCCACGACCGAGTGGGAGACTTTCACCGACACCGATGGTGCGGCCGTTGGGCAACATCAACAGCAGCAGCAGCAGCAGCAGCAGCAGCAGCGAGTGTGGGATGCTTCTAGTGGGAGAGGAAGAGGGGGGCGGGTATGTAGTCAGCGATCGGTGGGGGCGAGGAGCGTGAGAGGGGGCCCTCGTGAAACAACTCGTGAAACGACTCGTGAAGCAGCGAGTGCGGGAGCTGCGGTCGGGGGTCCATCGATGGTTAGGAAGGGGTCCACCAGGGGGGGGGGGGTGAGGGATTCGTTGGACACGTCGAGGCCGGTTCCACTGGAAGTTCGTGTCCCACCGTTGAGGAAGCTGCAGGGGGGAGGAGGAGGAGGAGGAGGAGGTGGAGGAGGAGGAGCAGGAGGAGGAGGAGAGCAGTCGGTGAGAGCAATGGTGTGCTTGGGGTCGACAGTGTGGGTGGCAATGGACATAGGAATTTTGGTATGGGACATAAGGGAGGCGTTTGAGGAGAGATCGGATGAGAGAGATGGGAGTAGTTGTGGGAGTGGTGGGGAGGAGGGATCAGCGCCGAGCATTCTGGTGCCTATACACGGATCCAAGGCGTTGTGCTTGGCGGCCGATCCGGTCAAAGGTCTTGTTTTTAGTGGTCACAAAGATGGAAAGGTGAGAGTGTGGTCGGTTGAGAAGCTGAGGCAATCTAGACGACAAAGATCGGGAGACTTCTTCGAGGACTCGCTTCAGTGGAATGCCAGATCCAAGGTCGATGTCACGGCCTTAGTCATCTCGTCTTACGGTACGTGTCGTTACAGTGCCGCCGCTCCCCATCAAACTCCCCATCAAACTCTTCACGTTTTTCACCTAGCGTCATCTCGTCTTCACGTTCCCCACCAACCGGTCTACGTACGCATATCTATCTACATATCCGTCTACACACGCATCTGCATGACCATGTGCATACTCACCTACATATACATCTGCATACCCATCGAGGTACATACGCATTTACACAGATACCCGTGTACATAATCATAACGTCGTTCCACTTTTTCTGTTCATTTTTCCCTTTTTCGTTGCGAGAGACAGAGAGAGAGAGGGGGGGGAAGGGGGAGGGGGAGTGAGCGCCGAGCTTCCTGCTCGATGGGAACTCTGTGTTGTGGTTTTGTTTCTATCCGGCTCCACCTATGCTCTCGCTGATCGATTGCCCTTTCATCTTCGGCGCGGTCTGTGCATCCACCTGTCACCGATCTGCCGCTCGTTTTCGAGACCGGCGCGCGCTGTCTCGATCTCCCGTTTTCTCCGTATATGCTTTTTTCGTCGATTGGAGACCTTGAATCATCATAGAGGGATGGATTGGGGAGAGTGTTAAGAGGGTATAAAAAAGGGGCTAGCGGGAGAAAGGGATGCAGATCGCTATTGATGTAAGCTTGCTCGTTTTCCTCCCCGCCCCCATCTTCCTCTCCCCCTCCCCCGCTTCCCCTCCCCCCGCGCCACCCCGTGCCGCCCGTTTCTCTCGTGTATGCCTGGGCATGCGCGCGCGCGCACGCCTTTCTTCTTGCTTTGTGCTGGTCTAACCTACATCTTTTTTTTTTTAGTTTTTTTGTTTACATCTTACTCTCGCACTCCTCGATACTCTGTCGCAGCGAGCGAAGGGCATGCATGCCGACACTTTCCCTGCACGTACTTGGCGATCATAACGGCCAGATTCCCTCCAAAAATTCCTGCCCTCGCTATCTCGTTGGGCTTGATCCATCTTTGTTGTTCGGTTGATTGGAATCATGCTGATGCAGCAAAAAGCAGCGAGAAGAAAATACTCGATTCTCTGTCGGCTAAAGTCCATTTTTGATGTGTGCGAGGTCGTCTTGCGATTGTAAGGTGTGATTTAGTGTGCGCGTCATAGTCATAACTTCCCGCGGGTATTGGCTGCTTGATCCATCATGCGGGGGAGGAAGGGAGGGTAATATGGGGTTGATGATCATCATCATATGGCGCGATTAGCACAGCGACACTAATGTTGTTCCTTCGCTGCTACGCCTGCGGGGCTATATGTCAGTTGGAGGTCAGTTGTTCCTTTTTGCTGCGGTCTTCGAAGAGCGAATTGTGTACCTACCGCTGTTTTCTTTTTCGTTCTTTTTTTTTTTTTTCCCGTTCTTATTTAGATCGAGCCTCGAGGGTAAAGATTGCAGGATTCCTTCGGAAGCTGTATATTTGGTGGTTCTGTTGTCGTCTTCTCCCTCTCTGCCTACAGTTCACCGGGCAGTTCTGTATGACGATATATTACATGTATATAGTGGCTGGTGGTCCCCACCACCTCAGGGTATCAGTTGTCGGGCAGTCGTTGATGCTTAACCACAGCCGGGGTTAAGGTGGATTATCACTTAACAGTGTAATCAGTTAGGTACGGGGTTCTGCAGACTGTTGAAGGTTCAGCCTCCTCCTGAGGAGTAGGTAGGTGAAACTCCGACGAAACAGTTTGTCACACCCCCCCTCGTTTCTTGTCCTCTTCTCCCTCTCTCCCTCTCTGCCTACGGTTTACCGGGCAGCTATGTTTGACTACAGCCGCCGCTCAACCTACATCCACGTGGGTGGCCTTGTACGCAAAAGAGGTTTTGAACAGAGGGAGTTGTAAGTAAGAAGAAAAAAAAGAACTGATTTTTTTCTCCTTGTTTTTTTTTCGCTTTTGCGCTCTGATGTCTTTGTGACGATATGTCTATATACTTACCACGCGGGAGACCTTTCTGTGTCTCTAATAATGCCATCTGCTGGCAGACCGACCTGTGTCTCGTGGGGGTTTTGCTGGCTTATGATGGGGTGTGAACAGGCTGTCTGTAGAGTCTTCCTTCTGATTCGGGTGTGCGTGATAATCTGCGTTGGTCATCGTCGCACGTGACCTCGAGGGCAGTTGTTGGTGCTCACCTTCAGGTATCAGTTGCAGTGCAGTGGCCAGACGCAAGTTGGGTTAAGGTGGTTGGTGCCCACCTTCAGGTATCAGTTGTTGTACAGTGTCCAGACGCAGGTGGGGTTAAGGTGGGCCCACCTTCAGGTATCAGTCGTTGTGCAATGTCCAGACGCAAGTGGGGTTAAGGTGTGTTATCACTTGGATTATTATTGGTTATTAAGGGACTTTGCCTACCGTAGAGGTTTCAGCCTCCCTCCAGTAAAGGCGGTGAAACTCCGCCGAAACAGGTTGACCTAGCCCCCTTTTTTGGTCCTTTTCTACCTTTCTTAAAAATTTGGACCATTTCTCGACTTATGCGTGTCATCCTTGAAAGCGCAGGGGCCATGCTAATCAATGTTCTCTGTATCGTTCCAATTTTAACGAATGTCCCGAAGGACTTTTCTCCCTTTCTGCCTACGGCTCACCGGCCAGCTCTGTGATTGTATATAATTTTTAAATGTTTCTTCCCTCCCCCCTCCTCCCAAAATTGTTGGTGATTCTTTTGAAAGGCGTAGTGTCATTGCATCTCGTATTTCCCGATTGTTAGCCCGTTAGCTTTTTTTTTTTTTTTTTTTTTTTGTTAGCCCGTTAGCTTCAACAGCATATATTTACCGAATGTTGCCTTTTTTGTTTTAGAGGAGTTCTCTGCTGAGCTCCAGCTTTTCTGTTTCTGCTAGTATCATCCTTAAGCGCAGTAGTTGCCGCACTTTATTTAGTAGACGGATCAGAACAGATACTACAGCTATGTTATACATCTGTGCGCGCGCGCGTGCTCTCAGGGGGAGGGGGAGAGAGAGAGAGAGAGAGAGAGAGAGAGAAGGTGAACGCAGCCCCGCAATAAAAAGCAGGGGGAAAGAAAACCAAGCAGGTCAAACTTGGGCCAAATGTTCCACTGAGGTCAAGCCATTTAACCATCGAAAAAAGCGTTCACCGAGGGACGTAGCTCGATTTCTTACTGTTAGCACGCGCACGCGCGGGAGAGAGTGAGAGAGAGAGAGAGAGAGAGAGAGAGAGAGAGAGAGAGAGAGAGATTCTTTTATAGGGTGAACGCAGCACCGCAATAATGAGCCAGGGGGAAAGAAAACCAAGCAGGTTAACTGAGCGTAACTGAGCGTTTCGTTCCTTGTTCTTTTCTTCTTGGTTTCTGTTTTCGCCTGCTGCTTTTTTTAATTTCCCCCCCACTTTCACGTCATGAATGTACACCTGCTTGACATCTGCTGCTGAGGCTTCCGGTTTCGGTGTACTCTGTCATTCCCATGATTCATACTCTTTTCGGCCTATTTGCCGGGAAGGCTGCTGTGGATGGATTGTATTATCCGTGGTTCTGCAAGCTCTCGTGGTGCTGCTCTCTGCCCTCGGCTGTTTACTTTCTTAGTCTCATTCTTTTCTTTTTGTTTCCCTTGTCACTTTCTTTCAGCGGTGCAAGTGTGTTCGGTGAGCAGGCGGGTGAATGGTCACTTCACGCTCAGCCGCACAAACGTGGGGAAACTTACACGCATAAAAAAGAACAAAGAAAAGCTTAAAAAAGGAGAAAAACAATGCGTGTGCGCTTTCTTGCCTACCTTCGATTTTAATTTGCCCATCTTCGGTATATTTGCCTCTACCTTCGGTAAATTTGCCGCGACCCTCAGTAAATTTGCCTCCACCTTCGGTAAATTTGCCTCGACCTTCGGTAAATTTGCCGCGACCTTCGGTAAATTTACCTCGACCGTCAGTAAATTTGCCTCCACCTTCGGTAAGTTTGCCACGGCCTTCGGTAAATTTGCCTCCACCTTCGGTGAAGTTTGCTTGTTTGGCAGATGCGCCCTTGGTTTGGTAGCTGTGCGACCATCAATATGACAGATATGCCAGCTGGTCAATCCACGGAAGGAGAAGGATAAGAATCTAGTCACAGTCCGTCTTTACATTCATTCTATGTCTATGTGGACGGTGGTTATTCTACTCTATAGGGCCTCGCTGCACCACTCACCAAATGTGAAAAGCACGAAAACTATGGCGCGCGGGCGTATCGGGCCACATTCTAGTGAAGGATTCAGTCGCCATTCTGCACGTTTGGTTAATATGTGGCAGCGAGGCCCATAATAATCCGTATACACTGCACATATGTTTTTTTTTTTTTTATAATGGCCCGATGGGCCACGGATCAGATATTAAACTGGTCAGAACAGATACTGCACATATGTCCTATCGCCCTCCTGACGAGTTGACTGGTGGAGTCTGAGCAAACAGTCTGTCACAGGCCACGATTTCTTCAAATGGACCCCTTAAACCCCCCCCCCCCCCCCCCCCCCCCCCCTCCCCCCCCCCCCCCCCCTCCCCCTTCCTCCCCCCCCCCCTCTTTTCTATGTGGCTATACTACTGTAGGAAGGTTTTTTTTTTTTTTTTTTTTTTTTTTGTAGGAAGTATTTGTGTTTGCATACGTACATGAGGTTTGTTTTCGTTTGTCTATCCTATCTATGTTTGGATCCGTAATTGAGATTTGTATATCGAATGTTCATTCAGATAGATTGGTTCTTAAGAGTCCCCATGAAGTAGTTCGTCTGTAGCAAGTGCGCTGTATACGACGAGTAACTACCGTCTTCACCCGAATAGAACGCCCGGTCATTATCGCTGTACCTACTGTAGTCTGGAAGTTGCCCTGAAGACAGGTATGAAGACCGGGCGATGGGTTCCGGTGAAGACTGTAGGAGTCCGTTTGAATTTATTTAGTATTAGTGTGACCTCATATTTTTGAAATGTTTTAAGGGGGGCGGAGCCCCTGACATCGATGTATCGGGGGGCAACGGGGGGAGGGGGGTGAGCGAAGTATACCCTATATACCCTGATTTCGTGAAATCGGGTAGAGAATGGCTTGGAAC